CACACACACACACACACACACACACACACACACACACACACACACACACACACACACACACACACACACACACACACACACACACACACACACACACACACACACACACACACACACACACACACACACACACACACACACACACACACACACACACACACACACACACACACACACACACACACACACCCACCCACCCACCCACGCACGCACGCACGCACGCACGCACGCACGCACGCACGCACGCACGCACGCACGCACGCATGCACGCACATTGGTGTGTTCAGCGTTTGTCTGGAAATGGAGGGACTGCAGGCTTTCCGTTGAGAAGTGCGACCACACTGCATGCAAGCCTTTTGAAACACCATACAGTCGGCACAACGCACTCAATCACAGGCACTTGCACACAAATCTCCGCCCCACTGCTGCAGCACAAACAGGAAACCCATCCCCGATGGAACTGCCAGAAACAAATAAAGGCAGGGGTCGTGCTATCGCGTTCGGCGTCGCAATCTACGGCATGTTCGCCATTGTTGAACTTGTTGAACTCATCGTCGAGTTCTTGGATCTTGGCGGAGACGACCTGACCCATCGCCGCCTCAAGGTCTTGAAGTGGGCCATAACCTTAAACCCTAAACCCTAAACTTTGCCCTAAACCCTTACCCCTAAACCCTGAACCTTAAACCCGAAACCTCTCGGGTTGCAAGTCTCCGTGGGCTTGGGATCCGGGTCTGGGGATCCAGGACAAAGAAGTTCGACCCAGAGGTGCCGGCACACCTCAAAGATGTGCCTTGCGATGTTCCCCCCTATACTAACAGTCCCTACTAGGAATTATTATACTCCTTATTAGGGTCCCTATTACAATCCATATTACGGACTGTTAGTACAAGTATGAGGGGGAACATCCCTAAAGATATGCCTTCGCCTGTGGGGTGCGACAAGGAGCAGGTGCCCAAAACAAAAAACAAAAATCACGCTGCCGGTAAGACCATCAGATCCTCAAACCGCTTGCCAAACCTTCCTCCAAAAGGCCGGGGCACTCCAGAATCTGGACTTCTCACACTCTCAGCGCACTCGGTCATGAACCTGAAAACAGGCATAGATGGACACACGGAATTTGCAGAGACATTGCACTAGCAAGTACTGTCTTTCAGGTGCTGACAATAGTGCACGTTCCTTCTTGACGTTCCATTGTCCTTCCACCTTTGTGCCTCAATCCTCCATGTCGTATCGAATCAAATTATTCTTGCCATCTTCGCTGTTCATCTCTGCGTTTCCCTTTTACCCAGTTTTTCCCTCACCTGCGACCGACTACTACGTTCCATCAGCACACGCGCACACACACACGCACACAAGCACAAGCACACACACACACACACACACACCATGCCCTAAGTGCGTGCAGGACACGATTTTTGTGGTTCTGGAGTCGGATCTATGTCCGGCGGCAGCAGCGGTTGCAAAGGGCGACCCCGGTGCTCGAGGCACTGGAAGGCGCCTGCCATTCAGATTTGCGGAGCTCATGTAGTGACAATTGCCCCAATAACAACATCGCCACATACACAAGGCAAACCTCAGCAATCAAGCGCCTTCCAATGCAAACATTGATTCTGATGGCTGCGACCTTCGCAGGTCAAGTGCTACCACGGCAGTTGGGGTCAAAATTGGAGTCGTTCAGGCCGATACGGATAGCTGCCATCACCAGCAGCATCTGCGTTTCGCAACGCTTCGCGGAGGGTCTCGTGCTGTGAATCCACAAGCCGGTGCAGTGCTTGCCTTAGGCCATCAACGCAACCAAATCTTATTCGCTCGACAACAGCACTCTGCTTGCTGTCTGCTTGTGCCAGGAAGCTGGTGCAAGGACACCATGTCCATGATGCGTTCCATTCCGGAGAACACGGACATCAGCCACGACGTTCCTCGCACCTGCCCGATCCGCACAGACCAAGTTCTTCCAAGTACATGTTGAACAGGGAAGGTGCACCATCTGTGACATTTTGGGGTCTGCTGAGCCCCACACGCCCCGGGGCAAGGATGCCCAGTCCTACGCCGGACTGATGAGTCGAGATCCGAAGACAAATAAAGCCGATGTGTTATACTATACTTGTTAGTCATGAAACAGGATGAACTCCCATCTTCATCTCGAGCCAGAGGAATGCTTAGAAGACCGTGGGTGATGGTCAGAGCGTGTCACCGCCATGCGTCTGCATCACTGACGGCAAACATTGGCTTCTCATGCCATCGAAACCGGACGATGTCCTCAAACAGTTTGCACATCAAGCTCATTTCACGATCAGAAGGCTTTTTCAGCTGAGACGCACAGCCATTTGGTGCTGTTTGCAATTCGGCCGACAGCGCTGTGAGAACGAAGCCCCCCATGACTCTGACATCATCATGTGTTTCGCTGCGCACAGAAGGTGGGGGGGGTGGGGGGTGGGGGGGGGGGGGGGGGGGGGGGGGGGGGGGGGAGAAGATCTCTATCTCTGTAAGGCCTCCGTGGTCTAGAGGCAAATCAACCATCCCATATCACGAGAAATACCATCCGTCCTCCGCACGATACTTCCTTCCGGGATCACAGGGGCGGTCTGTCCCGGACCTGTGCTTCCAGAATAGTCCTGGCCGTTGACAGTCAGCACATCAACTCTGGCTTCTGTTTTGAAAAAGATGGTGAGGAGCGCCTTGCGCTCGGGATTATTGACCGTGATGTCGCAATGGGCGTGGTTGCCATACCCTCCGGTCGAGATACGGTCCACCCGAATGGGCCATTGACGAGCAAGCCGCTGCTCAAAGTCATGGCTGGCAATGCAGCTGCGACCTTCAAACTCAAAAGCCTTGCAGGGAGGCGGCCTTCCATCCTCTCCTGTAAGAATCTCGAAAGGGCCCAGCCTCTGGGACCACCGGGGCCACCATTTCAATGAGCAGCAGCGCAACATGAAGAGTCTGTGTCCACAGCTGTCTTGATCCTTCCCGGTAACAGTGATGCCAGCTATATACTTCGCATGCGGGCATTGGAGGTACTTGTACACCACATGGTGGCTAACATCTTCGAACACCATAATGTCCTCACAGTTGCTCCAGCTGGAGCATCCATTAGCCGGCTTGATGCACTGGACTTTCATCCATGCCCTCGCGGTTGGTATTCTTCCCTGGCCGTCAGCGTCGTTAACGTAATCTGGTACCGTCGCTTGGTGCCATATCGCATGAACGAAATAGCCAGGATCACATTCAAGAAGATGTCGGACCGGTGAATGGGAGTTGCCGATGCTGAAGCCCGATTGAGTCCAAGACTGTTTTCGAGGCTTCTCCATAGGAGCCGTCATTTTCTGGTGTGGAAAGGTCGCAGCTCTGTAACGAGTGATCTCCATGTCTTTTTCTAAGCTGCTTGACACTGCGCCACGCGTAAGGTTCCCGGCATAGAAGAAACCGCTCAGGATTGAATTCTCTGGCCCGCCAGTCCACAAGTCTTCTCCATCGCTGCGGCGCCTTGGGGCATCAACTTCATGCAGAATCACAGGGTTGTCATATGGGTTGTCCAACCACAACCAATCCCGATTTGGTGCGCCAAAACGCGTGGCCAAGCTGTTCAGCTGGGCAATGGCAATGCCCTGGAGTCGAACTGCTGCGGGCTGGTCCTCACCCCAAGTGTTGGAAGCCTTTGCATTTTCCAAGCAATAGGCATACATTGGGACCAAAGCATTGTAGTACGTCTTGGCCTTTTCCTGCATCTGAAGCAGCAAAGCATCTGAAGAATCCGGGGCGACCACCATGAGCTCAGACACTGGAGGATGTGAGGCTGCAGCTTGAACCATTTCGAACAGAGATGGAATTGGTCCCCTTCTTTCAGACTCCGGAAGATCCCAGGCAATCAACATCGTATGACAGAGCTGTTCGATTGAGCTGGTGGCTGCAGATGCAGTTTGGTTTGTCACAGGTGCGCTCGTCCTTGTTGCGTGACTGTGCGAAGGACCCAGAAGGGAAGGAGTGTAAAGACTGGGGCAAGCGATGTGTGGTGTTTCCAGCACTTCAGGCTGGTGATAAGGTGTCTCATGTCACTGATCACTTTCTCGTACCAGACCTCGGTCACGGTCACATACTGAGACTTTTTGGAGACACACCGGTAGCAAAGGGGCTTCTCGTCGACAATACCCAAGACACCCCCAAAAAAAGGAAGGAGGAAGGCAGCAAAAATGCCAGCAGCTGGGTTTGCCACGGCGAGAATTCGCTTCAACCTCTCTGATAAGTATCTGACGGCTTCGACAACTCGACGCACTGCCCGACCTATCTCCGAAGCAAACTGATGAATGAAAATTTTCTTCTGGGCCAGTCGGTCAACCACTGCTGCCGTTGCAGTTGCCATGCTGGTATAGACATCGTGCAAATTATCTTCTGTCAATCTGGAAAGTTGCTCATAGATATCTGCGCGGGCCAGGGTATTCAACGAGGGCGGCGAAGCCATGAGCTGCAAAGTAGGCTTTTTCCAGATCCATGCAGTATCATCAGGCTTCAACTTGATCCCTGCCTCTTGCGCTCCCAAGAGCATCAAGTGTGGGTTCGTTTCAACACGGCTGCGCACATGCCACGCGAGGCTGTGGTGGAGAAACGATTCTTGCTTTTGCATGCCCCTGCTTTCCATCTGGAGCAACGCAGACGAATGAACGGACTTGAGCTGGCACCCATCGTCACAGCCATCCGTGGTTTTCGTCTCGGCTTGGACAATGCTAATGCCCATGACAAGGCTGAACAGGACGCACATGAAGCGAAAGACAGCCATAGCTGTCAACAGTACAACTGCGCGAAAGTGAACACAAGGCTTGAGCAGCTGCAAAGTTTCAGGTGAAACGCACTGGTCGACCATCTTCCAACACACAGATTCAATCATGCCACACATCAGACTCCAACATTATCACATGCCTGTTGTGAGCCCATGAATCATGGAGTTACAACGTGATATCACCCTCGAAGCCACATGCATGAACGCTGGAATTCTCACATGCACAAAAACTCAATGCATCATTTTGCATTGGCTACGCAATGTCATGAGAGACGTGCATGCGATACAGGGCGGTGCAGGACGAATCCGGCTTGTCACATTTTGAACAACCCCAATGTGTCCTCAGCACTGGAGTCGTGTTGGGGCCGCACGGGCACGGGCATCGGCGAGCAGGCGGAGGAATGTGACCGTCTCCGCCGTGAGCCTCCCGCCCACCTCCAGCCCCACGACGACCAGCTTGCAGCGGCGGGCCGCCAAGATCTCCGGGTAGGTTTCTTGGCGCTTCCGCCTAGCCGCGTCGGAAGCGGCCGCTCCTGGATCGCGATCTGCCCTCGCTCGAGCCGTGCCGTCCCGCGAGACGGGGCTCACGAGCGTGGTATCCACGGCGACTTGTGCTCCCTGGTAGAAGGGGAGGCCGTTGGCCAGTACCTCGATGCGGCGGGCGTCCGCCAGCGGTACATCAAGCTTCATGTCGCGGAGGAGGACATTGTTGGCCACCCTGGCGCCCGCTTCGCGGCACACTCTCGCGGCCGCCCGCTCCAGGGGCGCGCCGCGCGGGCCCAACACGCCTGCTGTGGGGCAGGCCGTGCGGTGGTCACCCCAGACGTCGAGAGCCCCACCGCAACGGCAGGTCGTGGGGCGTGGGGTAAGGGCGCTCGGAGGCGTCGGAGCAGTAGGATGCGCATGCACTCACTCGGCAAGCGGAACTCCGGTGCCGTGGGGAGCGCAGTGACAGCCCGCGGCCCACCAGGGCCCGCCTGAGACAGGAGCAAAGCACGCGAGGCCGGATCGAGGTCAGATAAAAGGCTCTCGCATGCTGTCCTGTCCTGGCAGGCCACGGCGGCGCGTTGCCATCCCCGCAGTGTGTCGCCAGGTGTGCGCGGTTCGGGCGCAGCTGGCGGTCGTTGGCCGCCCAGCAGGGACTCCCACGTTGGCACTTGGAATCCCTGGCCCGCAATGACTCCGCAGCGTGGACCAAGGCTGCAACACTAGGGGCGGGTGCTGCTCCTTGCGCGACGACGATGGCCTGTTGTTGGTTTAGTTAGGGCGACCATCCGCCCGATGCGGAGTCCTTCAACCACCTCACCCGGCAAGGAGCCCGCCACGAGTTTCCCGGCGACGCCAACAAGCAGCTCGACGCACTCTTCATCATCAAGCACAGGTGTTCCATCGCGCAACCGGATGGACCAGCGGCGGCCCCCCGCCTCGCCGACCGCACATTCGTGCAGAACCGTGCAGCGTCCAACGTTAAAGGGCCTTCCTCAGGAACGTAGTCGGCCAGCCAATTTGGGAGTGGGACCTGCCTTTCTTGGGGTCGTTTGAGTGGGTCCCGGAGCGCGTCCAGCGTGTCGGTGGTGAGCGGAGCGAGGGGAGCGGCTGTGAGCGCCGAGCTGGCAGCAGAAAGCTCACCCAACTGCGCCAGGGCGGCTGCACGTTCCGCCCGTCGACGCACTCCTTCGTCCGCGGATGGGCGTGAGTCAATTGCCTTCCGCGGTTGAACCGGGTCGGCGTGGGCTGCTGCTGAAGCCTCCTCCAGCAATTCGCCCCAACGGCGGTCCGCAAGCAGCTGCACCCGCCTGGATATCTCTTCCGGCGCGATGTGGTGCTGGCCACGACTGCGGTAGAGTAGCATGCGTGGCGCCAAAAGGAAAAGCTTCCAGCCCGCCGCTTGTACCTGCCCTTCGCTCGCGTGAGTAAGCGTCTCCAGCGCGCTGCGCAGCGTTTGCCGCAAGGCTCCACGGGCTTGGGCGAGGGGGCTTTGGAGCGTGTATACCCATTTGCTAAGCTCATGCCGCAAGTCAAGCCGTCCAAGATCAACGAGGGCCGAGGCGGCAGGGACGCTGGAGGGCCTGGGAGCGCATGTTGGTTGTGTCCGGCGCGAGCGCGCGCATCCGCGGCCGCGACCACCGCGCGCTCGAGAACGACCGCTGGCGCGCTCGGCCGCGCCCACGAGTGCACTATCATTGCAATTGCAAAACTGCGTGCCAAGGCAGCGGCCTCAACCGCCGCCGCCTGCCCCTCGAAGGCCTGCAGGAAGGCCGACTGGGCGATGGCATGAAGGTAACCCGTGTCATCCGCCGTTGCTACGACTGCTTGTTAGATGTCTCACCGCAACGCTGGGCCAGCGCACAACACAGGGCGGCGACCGCCTCACCGGCGTCTTGTTCTTCCGTTAATGCGACCGCGTGGATGAAGGTGACGAGTTCGCCTGTGCTGATGGGCGTGGCGGCCGCCAACGACGCCGCCAACGCCTGCCAACGTGCGCCGTGGGCGGTGTGTGACCGCCAAGTGGTCGCGATGCCTTCCTCCAACTGCCCGGCCGCATGTAGCAACAGTGGAACACAGAACCAGGAATTACGGGTCGGCGCCGCACTGGATAATTGAGGATGGCGCCAGTCCGGGTGCGACGGCGGGGACACGCGGCTTTGACAGGTGTGAAACTGCGGTAAGGGCACGCGAGGCCGTGCAGGGGAGCTTACCCACCCTGGGCCGACCTCCTGGCCGGGCCCCCGCTGGCAGAGCCCCTCGAGGACCCGGCGGCTGACTTCGCCCGTGGCTGGCAACGGCGCGCCGCCCAAGCAGTCGACCAGGCCACCGCACGGTGCATCGCCAACGGTCTGCCGCTGTGGAACGGGGCACAGCTTGCGGTCGATGCAACGCTCGTGTCTGCCGTTGACTCGAGCGGCCGCCCGCGGCGCCACCAGCGCCGCGAGGAGGGCGTGTCGCTCCGACTTGCGCGCCTCTCCAAAGAGCGCGCCTACCCCGAGCTCGTCCGGTCGGCTCGCTGTCGGCTCGTCGTCCTCGCCGCTTGCTCGCTCGATGTCGGGCTTGGGCGGTCCCGGCAGCATTCCGGGCCTTCGCGGCCACCCTCCTCGTGCTGCAGGTCCCCAACCAGCCCGTGCAGCAACCCTGATCTTGGTGCTTTGGTGCTTTTGACGTAACGGCCGCAAAAGTTTTGAAACCTGCCTCGGTCGTGCTGCCACCACATTAAAAGCTTTGGAAAAGCGTTATGTGCCTTAACCTTGCTCAGATTTCAGAAAAAATCCAGCCATCTGTTGGTTTATGTGCAATATAATCTTCAGCTTATATGGTCTAAGTAAGCAAGGCCCATTGCAAATTTATCTGGCATCGACCTACATGTGCCTCTTACACAACAGGCAGGCAGGTGGCAGCAATAATTACACCGCCCAACCAGCCTTGAGCCCTCGGCACTGGTAGTTTGGGAATTGTGGACAAACGCATCAAAATCTTCAGGCTTACGGCTGTGACGAGCTCACCTCTCCTCCAAATCCAATTCACCCAAGAGGAAGATGTCGCTTTGGAGAATCCGAAAAGATGACTGCTGTGTGTTCGCGTGTTTTGGCTCTCCCAACGTTCAAAAGAAGTTCGGAATGCAGTGGGTCAATAAGGGGAAGCCCTGAATAGTCGTCCAGTCGCAGCAGGTGAGCTTCAAACTTGTGCTACGCCGAAGCTACAGGTGTTGGGTGCTCAGGTCATCTGCAGTATCACACGCAATTTCATTCAATCGCTCCTGCTTTGGCAGGTGGAGCGAGCTTGACATCAACTGCGCTGTCACCTTCTCGACCTCTTGAGAAAGGTTTGTCTCAATTGGGATCTAGACATATTTATCAAAAGACTTCCTAGTCCACGACAGTTAGCATGCCCAAAGAACAAGCTCATACTCAGCCCGCCCTGACCTACATGAAATCTGTAATACATGTCGACAGACTCGCTGGAATAAACTTGCATTTACCGAGACTAACTACAGATCCGTGTCAGTCATGTAGTCAAGTGTAATGTGTTGTCATGTTATGCAACGCATCTCGTCGTGTCATCTGGGTGAAAGGTTCCAATCCCAGCCTTGCAAGTCGAAGGTGGCTG